CCCTAAGAGAAGCCCTCTGGCAACTATGTAGGAGTTACTGACTGAGTTTTCTTATAAATTTAATCCTGTAACTTTACTCTTTTTGCTTATTTAGAAACACGCACTATTAAGACTTCTTAGGGCAAACTTTTTGTATTAAAAGCTTCTCTTTTAAGTTTATTTAAACGCATTAACGATTTAAATTAGTGTTAAGGTTAAAAGTGGAATTAATTACTACATTTTTAACTAAGATGAAATTGTGTGTTACTTTTAATTCTACCAAGCCTTAGAATATCTGTAGTTGGAGTTATACTAGAAAATAAATAAAACTGCATAAAATAATACCGGTTAATAAAGTACGGAACCCGGTTAAAAGTTGTATTAGAAATGTTCTCGACGGCGGTCGACGTTTCAATTGAAAGTAAACTTTGATGGTTTTCCTTTTAAACCTGCTTCTTGTATAGCTCTGAGGTAACTATAAAGTTTTCAGACGGCTATTTTTCTATTTGAAATTAATTTGTAACATTATCTTAGTAGTTATTTTTCTGGAGTAAACTTGCCTGATCGTGAAGTTCTTATGAACTAATTCTAATATAGAAGTGAATCTTGATTAGTTTTTCTTAGACTTACCTATATTCGACACGTGGGCAGACGTTAATACGATGGTCTAAATAGAAACCTACGTCATAGATGAATCTACCTAGTTCAGCATTTAAATCATAAATTGAGGAACATACTCGTACAAGTTTAACTAAATTGGTTAAACTCGTTTTAACAGCTCAGAAAATGATAATCAAACAAATAACATAACAAAATATTGTTTCGTGTATATCTGTGCATACAAATCAAATTAGTTACTTTGAATCATTATTAAAAAACAAACTTTATATTTTTTTCAGATCATACTTACGCAACTGTGGTGCTCTGCTACGCTGCTACGGTCTACGATGCTACAGTGCTACGAACGAACACTGTAGCTTGCGGGCTACGGCTGCTACAACGTAGCGCGATTCAAAAGTAAGTACGCAAATACAGGGTGTTGATTCCAATCCTCGCCATATTTAGGGAGTCGATTAAGTAGCTTATTCTGATCACGAATCAAGTAAAAAAATTAACTTCGAAAAAAGAATTTAAACAAATTTTAACTTTAGTTAGTCAAAGAAAAATACCTATTTACACTACCTACTTTACGTGGCTTCCTTCAGTAGACTATCCGGCATGATAAGCGAGCGATCCGCGTAGCTCGATGGGTGCCGCAGTGTAAACGTATTGCAGTATTGCGAGCCACAGCTACCTACAGTTGATGTCGCACGGAAAATAATCGCTAAAAATTCTAATTTAGTTTGTAATTTTTTTTGGTGGATAATGCGTTTATACAAGTCATAATAGATCACCTAAAAATATGGCTTTTTTCTACGTCAGAAATTGTATTGTATTATTATACCTAAGTCCTAGTTTCTTCAAAAATCAAGAAGTTTTTTGTATTGATACAAAAATAGCTGCATTTAATAAAGCCTCCGATGAAGTGGTATTCAAATTTAAAATAGGTAAAGAGGAATGTTAATAAAGTCTGTTATGAAGAAACAAAGTTCGTCTTTCTAAGAAAATAATGAGAACAAGCCTTAAAGTTTTAACAAACAGAGCAACGACTTCCTAACCAATATAGATCGATTTATTTTTAACCGTTATAATAAAACCATTTAATTTATAAAAAAGTATTTTCATTGGAAAGCTCAGCGTGGAACCACCTCCTACCCGATGGACAGAAGACTGTTCATTCTAGTCATGCATATTCTAGACAGTCATGATGACTCAGCAGTAGGTAAGTACTGAAATTTTTCAAATTTTCTAAATAGAAGAAATCTTTCACAAAATATCAATTTATCTTTCGGTTATCTAATGCAGATATCAAAAACGCTAATTATATTCTAAAAAAACACTAATAGAGATATAAAAGTAGATCTATAAAAACATGCACTTTGTTTTTGCATAAAAAGTAATACGACAACGTATAATTGCACAAAGAAAACTAAAAAGACAGTTTGAAATATGACTGAATTGCGAATTCTCTCAAAGAGCACCTATAAAATAAGCTGAAATAGAAATGGCGGCTTTAAAAGAATATTGTCAGCTTCATTTTACATTCAGGGGCGAAACAATGAAAAAACTTTGATACACTGTTTTAAATTTATCGGCGAGGTATGTGACCGGAATAGACGCTTTGTTTGGAGAAAATTGTTAATGAATCACGCTTTTGTATTAGAACAAGTCTTAGTAATAATCTTTTTGTGCTGAGATTAGTGAAGTGTAGGTAAATAAACAATTTTGGAAACAAAATAAGGTCACTAATATTTATACAGTATAAGGCTATGTTCAGATGGCAAAATTTTGACGCGCGTTTTCAAATCGCGTGACTAGACATCGTAGTAGGTATTTACATACAACCGATCACATGAGCGCGCGTTAACGCGCGTCAGCGAGCGCTGACGCAGCGCTCAGAGAGAAAGTCTCTAGACGCAGGCGATCGCGCGTTGACGGGCGCTTTGACAGCTATGTAACGTCCGTTGACTGTTCACATGAGCGCGCGCTTCCATCGCAATAGCTTCTTCCATCTCAATTTGCTAAGTTCTATCAAAACAGACTGACGAGCTCCTGGCAACGCGCGTTAGCGCTTGTCATGTCAACTCTTTATAAAATTAATTCCGCGTTTACCTGCGTTAACGCGCGTTACATGTGAACATAGCCTAACGTCGCGTTAAGACCCGTGTCTTACTATTTTAATGTGCCTCTTATTAAAAAAAATCTAGTTGCATCATATTTAAAAGTTTGTTTTGTTGTAGGTGTACCTACATCATCATCATCATCTCAGCTATAGGACGTCCACTGCTGAACATAGGCCTCCCCCAATGCTTTCCATGTTGCCGCAGCTGTTGGTAGCAGCTTGCGTCCAGTGCCTTCCAGCTACCTTTATGATGTCGTCAGTCCACTTTGTGGGTGGAAGTCCCACGTTGCGTTTTCCGGTACGCGGCCTCCACTCCAGAACCTTGCTGCCCCATCGGCTGTCAGTTCTGCATACTATGTGCCCTGCCTGCCACTTCAGCTTGCTAATTCGTCGGGCTATGTCAGCGACTTTAGTTCGTTTACGGATCTCTATCATTTCTGATTCGATCGCGTAGGTAATAGTAGTAGCTTAGTATATCATTTTTAAAAATGATAAATAATTTTTACCTTAATACTTATTTAACCTATTCAAAGACAAATAAATATTTCTATTTCTATTTCTAAGCCAAAACTTTTGTAAAAATATAAAAAAGGTGTTTAAAATTTAATCTATGATCGATTGTTTCGCAGTATTAGAGTAAAAAGCCTTTTCTGTTCTGACCGGTAAATCGGTATTCTTTTCTATTCGAAATCTCGTTCAATCGAGATAAAACCGTATCGGTCTTCCGTCTCTCTAACGTTTGTCGAGATTTTGTCGCCCACAGTTACGTTAAATTCTCGTCTGTCAGAGTTGGAAAGAGGCTTAGTTTGCCTCTGAAATAATACGGAAATATCTTTGTTAGATATCTAACATCAGGTTTAAGTCTGGTTTGAGGGGATTTTCAATGCTTCCTGACTATGGAAAATCTTATCTTTAGCTTATGGGTAGTAAATTGTACGGAAACACTTTATTCGACTGTAAACCATTTTTTTGCCTAAAATGACGTGTATTGAAGAGATGGACTAAGTTGAAGCCAATAGAACTTAATTTCGTAAGTTTGTTGAATGAGATGCCATAATGAAACACTTATTCCATTGATAACTCTCTAAAGCATTTGTAGAGTATGTATCTTATTTTAATCCCTGATCCTATGTGTGACTTTCATATTCTAGAGCATTGGTTCCCAAACTTATTTGAGATGCGCCCCCTTTCGACCATCCAAAAAATTCTGTACCCCCCTCCTCCAGTCAAGATTATTTATTGGTCGTCTCAAGCAGTCTGGAATGCATTCTCTCAGCGGTTGCAGGTTTTTTATAGGTAAAGTACACAGATGGCCCGCGTCCCCCTTTAAAGGTCTTTGCGCCTCCCCTGGGGAGCGCGCCCCCCTCTTTGGGAACCAATGTTCTAGACTCTTGTTATACGAGTAATTATATTTAAGTTTACTTGTTATTCCAGATTTCAGGATCTCTAATATTTATCAGAGATTCAGAGGCAAATAAAGCATTTGGCCTACATCCCTCACTAGTCAAAAGAGTAGGAGGCCTTTACGGATATTTTTCCCTTATCCACGGGAGGAGTGGGGGTATTCCTATTAGGGTGAAATAATAACACAAAATAGATACCCGATATATTTTTATTTCATAACTTCGACAGTAAACAACAAACTAACTGTTGGGTATCCAAACATTCAATTTACTTTACCATACAATCTAAAACTTTATTTTACACAATATTACATGTATGTATGTAGAGCGAATTACAGGACAGCTAATAATTTTTCAAATTGACGTCATTACAATACACCAGCCTATTTATAATAAGAACTATATAGATTTATAGAACATTTTTAAATAAGTAATGCCTTTCCCCTTTTAGTTGAAATTCTTAAAAATATCCAATTGAATCGAAAGTGCAATGTCCAATAAAATAAAAACAAAATAGGCTACCTACTCGTACTCTGTCTTTTTCAAATAAACTTTTACTAACATAATGGCATAGATAAAACATAGGCATTAGTAGGGATGTGTAAATGCGATTTTAAAAATAGATAACATCGAAACGATTGCATTCCTTTTTCAAAAATAACAGTCATTTCTCAACATCAGTGTTGTACGTCAAACTGGTCAAACGATAAAATCTACGAAACATTGCACTCGTGCTTTGAAGTAAAATTAGGTTGTGTTCGTAAAACTTAAGTTTGAATACAATTTCCTTGTTCAATGCCTAATTCTGAATTGACTTTAATTTTATTTAACAATAGTATTAAAGAAGTTTCTTAAACAGTTTTTTTTCTATTGAATGGAAGGACAATGCCAAAATTCATCAAGATGATGACTAACATTTAAAATACATTTTTAGTCTTGTATCTCTTACAATATCCAGATTTTCAATCTTCACTCATGTAATGGATCTAGTTCTGAAGGACATTATAGAATTAAGTCTAAGAAATAGAAAGAGTATTGTGGACAAATTGAATCTGCCATCATCGTGTAAATAAAATTATTTACAACATTTATCGTTTAACAATTGAGAATAAATGAATTAACTAATCGTATAAACATTTTTTTTATATTTTCCAAACGATCTTTTTCCGTGTTATTTCATATCACAGTACCATAATTCCAAAGATAATGTAACTTATAAATAGGTAAACGTATATCTTACATTAAATTATGCGTACAAAATAATGGCTGAGAAAAACAACGGTGATAGCCTAGACCACGTTTCTGAGTAACTCGTCCGATGTCAGCTGGCCGTCCTGGAAACAAAGGTAAGGTAAGATAAGGTCAGCGCTCCTGCACACGATGCCGCGCCGCCGCCGCGCCGCCGCCGCGCCGCCGCCGCGCCGCCACCGCGCCGTCAAAGCATAATTTCGCCGGCGGCGGCGCGGCAGCGGGTTGCACGCGGCGCGTATAAACAGTGCAAAGGCGCGGGGGGGGCGCGGCGGCGGCGCGGCGGCGGCGTCGTGTGCAGGAGCGCTTAAGGTAAGGTAAGTGGATTAGCACGAACCCCTTTTAATTCTAGTCCGGTAATGCAATTGGTCATTGTTAATCCATCGCAATGTAAAACAACTTTCTTAATTCGATACGATCTTGCTAAAAACAACTTCAAATTTGTAGTTTACCCTAACTTAGTTTCTTTTACGAGCTGTGCAACAATTGCAATTTTAGTTAAAAATAGGAATTAGGAATCTTGTTAGCTCGTGTTATTTTTTGAAAATAAATGTGTTACTTTTCAGTTAAAAACATGATTTCGTTTTCGGAGCTGAAATAAGATTAGTAATTGTCGGTCTCTACAATCCCAAATAATTTTGAAACTTAAAGATGAAACGTCATAAAAATATTTCTGTTCCGCTATGTCTCTTCTTGTCAATGGGTATTTATATTTTTTATATCTTTGATAAATACCACTATAAATAATACTAGGTACTTCATTAACACAAAATTCTCTTTAGACTTACAATAATAGTATTTCGTCTATGGTTCCCATCTGCCAAAGGTCAAAGGCAGTCATAATTTGTTCTTGCAATTTGCATCAAAGGAAAGCTCTATGTGGCTGCTTATTAAGTTACAGACTGGTAAGTGATTTTAACGGTACATTGTGGACATTAGAAGACTGTAATGCATTGAAATTGGTACATAGTTTTCATGTGTAATATGTTTCAGGTAGGTACTATTATACAGGGTGTAACAGGGGGGGTTAATCATCGTAAGTCAAACGATGGGAGACTTCAATACCTATCGATATAACCCCCATGCATGTTCCGCGATTTTCAATGGTTCCAAAGTTATTGAGATTTTTGTGAAATTTAAGTAAAAAGCCACTATTGAACTAGTACTAGAACTTTCAACTATTAAGACCCACTATTGAACTACTTCTAGAAAAAAAATCATGCAAGCAGGTCCAGCAGTTAAGCTACAGTGAAGACTTTTATACTAAATTCCGGCATTTAACTTAAATTTCACAAAAATCTCAATAACTTTGGAACCATTGAAAATCGCGGAACATGCATGGGGGTTATATCGATAGGTATTGAAGTCTCCCATCGTTTGACTTACGATGATTAACCCCCCCTGTTACACCCTGTATAATAGTACCTACCTGAAACATATTACACATGAAAACTATGTACCAATTTCAATGCATTACAGTCTTCTAATGTCCACAATGTACCGTTAAAATCACTTACCAGTCTGTAACTTAATAAGCAGCCNAAGTGCTCCTGCACACGGACGCCGCCACCGCGCCGCCACCGCGCCCCTACACTGTTCATACGCGCCGAGTAAAGCTCGCCGCCGCGCCGCCACCGCGCCGTCAAAGCATAATTTCGCCGGCGGCGGCGCGGCAGCGGGCTTCACGCGGCGCGCATAAACAGTGCAAAGGCGCGGGGGCGGCGCGGCGGCGGCGTCGTGTGCAGGAGCGCTTAAGGTAAGGTAAGTGGATTAGCACAAACCCCTTTTAATCCTAGTCCGGTAATGCAATTCATTCAGTCATTGTTAATCCATCGCAATGTAAAACAACTTTCTTAATTCGATACGATCTTGCTGAAAACAAATTATTTGTAGTTTACCCTAACTTTTTTTCGAAGAGCTGCCTAGCTGTGCAACGATTGCAATTTTAGTTAAAAATACATAGCATTGGGAATCTTATTGGCTCATTTTTCAAAGCAAATAAATATGTTACTTTTCAGTTGAAAACATGATTTCGTTTTCAGAGCTGAAATAAGATTAGTAATTGTCGGTCTCTACAATCCCAAATAATTTTGAAACTAAAAGATGAAACGTCATAAAAATATTTCTGTTCCGCTATGTCTCTTCTTGTCAATGGGTATTTATAATATTTCAATATCTTTCCTAAATACCACTATTTAAACACTCATAAACACAAAGTTCTCTTTAAACTTACAATACATATTGTGTTTCGTCTATGGTTCCCATCTGCCAAAGGTCAAAGGCAGTCATAATTTGTTCTCTATGCAATTTGCATCAAAGGAAAGCTCTATGTGGCTGCTTATTAAGTTACAGACTGGTAAGTGATTTTAACGGTACATTGTGGACAAATTGTTCTATATTTAGAAGACTGATACATTGAAATTGGTACCTTATCCTTTCTTGTGTAATATGTTTCAGGTAGGTACTATAACATCGTTTCGATAAGTCACCAAAACATGGACACATTAGTGTGGATTCAATAAATTGTTTTGCAACATAGAGACGCAGTGTAGCGAATACGATTTTGAAAACAAATTTATACCTAACTTATTAATATCTATAGACATATTTAGGCCAATATAATAATTTATGTGGGCGGCGTGCCGTATAATGTTATTTTATAAAGTGAATTTCGTAATATACCTACATTAGGACAGTTCAGCGAGCCATTTCAAATTGAGTAGAAAGCTTAATTTTTTTCTAATTTTCACCATAATTATTATTTTTACTCTACTTGACACCTTGACGACACAAATAGTGCGAGTCCAATATTAGCAATTCGAGCTCCGCGAATCGAAACATAATAAAAATCAATTGTTATGCGGTTTTATGCGACCGCTTGGGGTTTGACGGGTTAACGAAAGATATTAAATAAAATTTTAATGTCAAATAAGTGAATTTTCAATGGTTTTCTATAGAATTCACTTACATCGTTTCTCTTAACCCATCGACAAGCAACCGATGACTTTACTCCAGTATCTTAAGTACGGTGCGGTAACCGATACCCCCTTCTAAGGATTGAGAAGCTCAGAAGCTGTATGTAGTTACCAAGTGGACGGGCTTCCATTAAATATGTTTGGTAAACGTAAATTGAGAAATCGGTAATAATGAAAGATCGTAGTAACAAATAAGATATTCTGTGTTCTAGGGTTTGTGTGTAGAAATTACAGTTGATTATACAAACAGACAACAAAAACTTTTTATAAAAGTCTGCTCTGATAGAAACTGGCAATTTTGCAAACATGCAGCTGAATTGCATTAATAAAAAAAACTGTGTCGCAAATGATTCCAGAATATGTTAATAACATAGGTACCTACCAACTACTTTATTGGAAAATTTACGTGCCTAAGTATTTTTTGTACGCTGACTATAAAGATATTTAAGCATTTAGAAAAATTTCTTGAACCCAGCAAAATAACAATTTTAGGTATACGTATGCCCGTTTTCACCATCAATCCCTAATTTTTAAGTGACCACTATGGTAACAATTAATAGGAATTTTGTTTTCATAGGGGCCACTTAAAAATTAGGGATTGATGGTGAAAACGCGCATTAGGCTGAGTTGCACCACCTTACTTCGACTTTAACAAACGTCAAAAATCTGTAAAACTCCATACAAAATACACCGGTTATCGTTATAGTCACGGTTAAAGTTAGGTTTACTTCTCATTATTTCATAGGTGAGCGCCCTCTTTTAACCCACCAATCCCCAAGCGGCCGTATTAACTTAATCTATCTGTCTCGATTCGCGTATCTGAAGGGTTAAAGTTTTAAAGCAATTATTCCTGTATTACCTGATTGAGGTCAACGAACTTGCGTACGACGGACCTCGTGAAGTCGGGGTTGTTCAGCATCTCATTCACGAACCAATCCAAGGGGATACTGGGGACAAACATGTATTGTTAATGAGCGCTTACCAGTTAGCGCCACCGTAGAGTAAGGTCCTGTCACTTGCTAGTAGCGAAGACAGTGGCGCCAACTTGTGAGCGCTAAAGTGGTAGGAGGACTATCGCATTTGCACTCATCAAGATGGCGCCACTGTAGAGTAAGGTCCTGTCAATCGCCAGGGGTGCCAACTGTTAAGTATAAAAACGATAGCCCTCATTGTGTAAAAAACGTTAAAATAACGGTATCGTTATAGCTGTCATAGTAACATTGACGTAATGTCAATGTCACACTAGAAACGTCATTAGAGGGAAGCGTGTGGAAGACTCTCCGCGCTTTTGTGCTAAGTGATAAATTGTATTAAAAAATGAGGCAATATGGGTAATGTGAAAGTTAAGTCACAAAATATAAGTATCCAGTGTTTTATTTATGCGAATAGATCTATCTATCGTCTTCTAGCAGTATATAAGGTAGGCTTATAATAATTATGTAAACATAATATCTTATCTACTACTTTTCCTCTTTCCTTCTTGCGCATGGAGGAGGCGCTATGACGAATTTGTATAATTGTTTAATTTGTTGAATTTTGACAAAAGCTCACTTTTGTGTATGTGGACAACTTAAAAAAATAAAGAACCATTATGCTCCGAAAATATAAAAAAAATAATTTCAAAAAGCTCCCATTCAGAGGGGTGAGTAATGTGACTCCTTTTTGTATTCTTTTTTGTCTATGAAATTTAACTAAGAATACGAGGATAAAGTATTAAAAGTTCAAAAAGAAACACATTGTACAAAACGATCTTTCAATAGAAACATTAGTGAAAGAATTACTTCTTTTTAAAATATTGCATTTCGCATTACAATATTCAATATTTAGATTTTCCCAATTCCACCACTGTTTTATACTTATTACCTCTTTCTTGATACTATATTCCAGATATTAGTTTTCGATTAGTTACAACTAAAGTAAGTTTTAGGTAATAAACTTTAGTAGGTATTAAACTCACGCCCGTGTTACGGAACAAGACTCAAAACTAAATTCAAACTTAAAGCACAGAATAAATAATAGTACAAGTAAAGTTATACATAGGTTCAAACTGATCAATTAAGGCTTTAGATCAATCAAAGGTGTCAATTTAAAATACAACTACCTACAGATTGCTTACTCTATAATTTACTGTGTAAGGCTGAGTTGCACCATCTAACTAAGTTACGCTTATAACGATAACCGCTTTTTTTGTTTGGAGTTTGACAGATTTTTGACGTTCGTCAAAGTTAAAGTATGATGGTGAACCCAGCCTAAATGAATTTTGCTAAGCGCAAAACCCGAGCACGACTGGACCAATGCGGCTATTTTTTTCATGTGTTTCATAACACTTACAGGAGGTTTTTGTGAAGAGAAAAAAATAAAAAGGGCGTGAAAAATAATAAAAACAAAACCTTTCTTTTCCTATTCAAAACAGTTGGCATTTTTTTATTTATTAATAACTAGCTTTCCGCCCGCGGCTTCGCCCGCGTGGAATTTTGTCTGTCACAGAAAAACAATATCGCGCGCGTATTTGCTCACGATAGGACGATCTGGTGAAGTCAGAAAATTGATATCATCATTTTAATTATTTTAATTTTCATACAAATCTGATATTATAAATTTTATTTTGTATGAACATTTAAAAAATTAAAATGATGATATCAAATTTCTGACTTCACCATACCATTTATATGCATATATTATGTTAACATGGGCTAGTGTCGGCTCATATACCCATTTACCTAACACCCTGTATAGATGTTTACCAATTTCTGTTATGAAATCTAAATAAATCATTATTTCACACGTGGTGAGCATGCTGAAACCTACACAGACAAATATAACAAATCAGCTGATCTGTTTGCCGAGGTTTCGAAGTAAGCCTCAAATCCTTTATTTGTCCCATTCAACACGGTCGGCTCGGGATATTAAAAGAAAAGTCACAATCGTGTGTACAAAATTGATTCTTCAATAAAACGGTGAGACATTTTTACACTAAAAATAATAAGTCCTACCTACGTTATAGGTATTGTAATCAAAAACAATGAATTAATAATTTAGTCAACACATAATTATTTACCCTTTAAGGTGAGTTTACCTGTTTATTACTTTACAATAAAAAGTGCTTACTTAGATGAGATGAGATGATGATGATGATGATGAGAAAACCTATCCATTTTTTCAAATGTACAGATAGTTCTTTTTCGATATAAAAAATATAAACTGGTAAAATCGCTGATAGAAAAGCTATAACTTACATTGACATTCGTGAATTAAATAAACCTACCTAAATAAGTTACGAGAAGTGACATTTTTGCAACCCACATAACTCTGGATGTCGCAGAAATGCCAACGAAGGCTTATTAATAGTCCACAAACGCAGAAATGTTATTATTTGCAAGGAATCCTTTCACATTAAAGTTTAGTTATTACGTGGAGTTTCAATAACTAAAGACAATGACTCGCTTTCTATGCCAAAGTTTGCAATAGAGCGGCAAACAGAAGAGTCACTCTATTGAAGGCGATGATAAGTTTTAATTGGTACTTAAAATGACAGAATCAATTAAAAATCTGTTGGTTCACCGATAATTTTGGTGTTATGAAGTCTACTAAACTCCGATACATAACCAGTAGGCCTAAGATGCGCACTGCGATAAGCGGTTATCACGCCATTTTATCGATTTTTTACATTTTGACGTCGATAAAAGTTATCACGGCGCGCATCTTAGGCCTACAGGTGTGATAATTACTATAAGTACTAAATAGAAGCTATTTTTATGGTAACATAAATAATTAAGTCACGGTATTAATCTCACTTATGGTAGCAAATTTTCCTAATTTACATTGTTTCAGAAAGAAGTGTGTAGTAATTTCAATAAAAACCAAAATGAAATGAAGTGGGCTTGCTGACTAAAAAGTAAATGTACAGCCATGAATATTTAACTTCAATTTGTCACCAATTTCCTGGTAAGATATCTCACTTCTCATTCAGAACTTCAATAAACAAGTTTTCTCATCAATACCATTATCACGAAATTTGCTTCAGTGGTTTTGAGGTGAACCTGAATTGGAATTAGGTATTTTGAAAGACCTTTCCCGATAGATATGGAAAACATATTTTAATATTCATGGCACATAACGAAAGGATGGGCGCAAACTCTTTTCAATTTGAATCTGCCAAATAACCTATCTGCGTTGTATTCTATAAGAGTTCTAGAATAATATTTTGGGACTTAAACTTATTCCCAAATAGATATTAAATCGCTGAAAACCCAGACGAAATTAATCAAAGTAAAAAATGGAAAGAAACAAAATATTCGATTTCCCATCAAAGGAAGTGCAAGCCGGACACAAAATAATGTAAATGAGGGTTTTCGCGAATGAAAAATCTGCTAGATGGCAATACGTAGATGTAAAGTCTAAATGCTGCATGATTGGTTATTTTTGACATGACATTGACAGATATGTCAAAATTCACCAATCACGTAGCAGTTAGACCTCATATCTACGTCTTGCCATCTAGTGGATTTTTCATACGCGAAAACCCTCATTGAATTACATGCCATGGCTTGGAATTGGATCCGTAGATTAAAAATCCTAAGATATGACATTTAGGCAGAAAACTATGATGTGTAAGCACACGTCTGTCCCTTCTTGTAAAGGGGATTTTAATTTTATGTGAAATTGCACAATGGTTCAATGTTTCTTGCCCTATCTTATGGTCATAGCCTTATTAACTCGTCAGCTTATGGAAAATTAAGGCAATTAAAAGTTGATTGTAAATGAATAATTACGAAATGGATGTAACTTAAAAAAGTCGGTTTTACTTTTAATCTACATTGTTTGTTTTACTTTGCATCTAGTCTAGATAAAACAAAATGTTTGTCGATGCAAACTAAGACGCCCAGAGTTTTTTACTTAACATGAGATGCATCATGATATTCATGAACAAGCATTATTGTTGGCTGCAATAATAGAAGCTTCGGCGCTTCCCAAACAAAATTGAACTTTCACGGAAGCCACACAGCTTTGAGCTTCGACTTGCAAGCTTGCAAGCTTTGTTTTCGTTGCAAGTCGATTCAAAAGTCGAGGGTAATCAATCACGAATTTGATCGCTATCTACAATGTGGCACGAACGAGTGGTTATTTTGTCTGTATTGTGTGGTGACTGTTTTTTTTACTTTGTGCCAGATATGAAGCGTCATTAGTGCATCGAGGGGACTTCGAACTGTTGTGGCGGTTGTCAATTGACACAAATAGACAAATCACGAAAGGTGTTTGAATTTAGCTGAATGTACTATCGGGGACTCTTCCGCCTGACCACTTTGTAGAAATTTTAGCGTAAGCGCATCGCTCCGGTCACGTGCTCACCCCGTCTCTAATTGGTTACGCATTTTACTATATTTTTACTACGACCAATAAGAGACAATCAGGGCTTAGGTTGCAATACGAAATACCATTGTGCACTTTATTGTCATACGGTCAGGGTTTAAAACGAAATGTTTCTTTTTCTTCAATGTTTCTTAGTTTTAGGCTGAGTTGCACCACCTAACTTTGACCGTAGCTATAACGGTAACCGGTGCTTTTTGTATGGAGTTTGACAGAATTTTGACGTTTGTTAAAGTTAAAGTAAGATGGTGCAACTCAGCCTTAGAATTTTAATAATAGAATTTGGTTACAAACAAATAGATATGTATTTTTTTTTATAGTGTGTTTTTATACGAGGTCTGTATGCTTTTTGCTTTGGCGATCTGTTGACATATTCTCTCCTTTGTTTTTTTGTGAAGTTTCGTGATCAATAACCGATTGATTTGTGTTGACCCGTGCTAGTAATTGGACTGTTTGATTGCCTTTTTATTGACCTCCGCTCGATTACTGAACCATGCCTCTCAAAATAATTCTTATATTTACTTACAAACTTATCTATACATTGTTAACTGTTTAAGTATTATTTAGTTTGAAGTTTAATTGTTATTGATTTAAGACCTTGTGTAAAGACACTTAATGTGCAATAAAAAATTGAATTTGAAATAAAACTAACTTAATATTATAATATTTACGATAACCAATTACCTGGATCATTGCTACCTAGTGCAATATTGATATTAAATTTTAATAACGTAGATAAGTGTTTCTTTAAAACGGAAAACAAAATATGCATTAAAAATAAATAGAAACCTATTATAAGTTTTTATTTACATTCAAGGATTTAAGAAAGTTTTAGCCAGATCTTACAATAATTGTTTTTAAGCCACAAATATTCCTTAACTCTTTATCAATTAATTCAATAACATATTGTTTTAAATTATAAGTTCCGAATAAATTAAATACCTATTAAATAAGTAAAATTCTTAAGTAACTGTATGATTTTGTATTTCTCACCCTAACTAGCTAAACTAATATCATGAGATTTACACTCATAATATCAACAATAATTGTAGAAAGGGCTACTTTTTTCTCGGGAAATTGCATAGTTACCTCGGAATGTGCGATAGCAATTTTGTGACCCGAGCGGGCAATCGCTAGTTCAAATTTTACACGAAGCCTCATATAATATTTTGTAGTTTCAAATTGACTAAAATGCGACGTTGCCAAACGAGCGCTACGGATGCGGGTAATAAGCAATACTCAATCCTAAATGCTTTACATAGAGCTTGGTTTGCTAGGGCAAACATCTACAGTGATGTGCCGACGCTGCTTAGACCCGAAACATGAATGAACGGGGGCGGAGTTTAATCGAGCGTGTGTGTGCAAACAATTTAGGCCCTTAAGGTGTCAAGGCGTTCGAGTCCCCGATAGTACCTGTTATTCTAGTCTAGGATACAGACAACACTCATAAAATTCATTTTGAGCGGAGTTGTTCTTTAAGCCACTAGAATAATGGAAGCGTATTATTAAAGACCTTTTTCAAGAACTACGAGCACCTGGAAGCAAAGGCCCTAATTATATTTATAACAATAATTATTATTTCAAGTCATTACTCAAAAGCTAGAAGCCACAGAAATGTTCAATAATAATTATAAAGACTCTCAGTCTTTTTACAAAGGAACAAGCATACTCATTACTAATAGTACAACAAAGAGTCTCCTTTGAATTTTTTTTCCGAGTTTTTATATTTTTATAAATTAAATCTTGAGTGCTATACCTACCGATTTATGTCCCTTGCGAGTATCAAAAATGTTACAGTTGTACCATTTGACTTGTAGATATACTCTACCTATATTTGCAATGGGCAGTAGGTAACCATAGGTAACAGAAACATAGATCAGAATCTGTAACTAATACAACTGAATAGTCAAATGAAAGAAAACAGTGGGGTGCTGTTTCACATACACCCACACACTATGCATCGTGGAATGGTGTATGTCCCCATTGATAATATTTTCTGAAAATACAGGATGGTGAAATATTTTTCTTCAAGTAGGTATTTTAATGGTTTTCTAGACAAGAACTTGAATTGAAATGTTACTAGCTATTTATGATTTAAGTTGAATAAGAATTGTTCTCTTTTTTCAGTTTGAACCAAAGGTTTACTGAAAGAGAATGCCAACGGCATTAAGTTCGCCTTTAGTGCAATAAATGTAGTGGAATAAAAAGTAGCAAATAGTTAGGTAATGTCAATTTTAAAGACAAATGACCTCAACCTCAACCACCAAAAAGTGAAAACATTTCATACTAAATGCCACTTTAAAAAAGTGTACATGTGTTTAACTTTTTGTAATAATATGGCTCTAAAGATTTCTGAGGACACGCATAAGCACAGGTTTACACTTGACTGACAATTTAATCTTCGAAATTGCTCACTAGTCCTTTTCATCCTATATCAATAACTCGCAATATTCTATTTTTCTGGGTCGAATATCATGTTTCTGTAGTTAGTAGATGCTTGAGCACCTACATAAGTAGGTAGGTCACTAAATTAACGTTAAAAGAACAAGATAAAAACAAATGACTGTAATGCAAAATTCCTCAGAAGTTCTAGGTTAGTTTTAATTAAACGCACTTTTTTCGAATTGTATTGTAAATGCCTTATCTTTTACCTATTGTAACACGAGATTAAAATAAATAATAACCCTTAAAGGCTGCTCGTAGGTATCATCATCATCATCATCATCATCTCAGCCATAGGACGTCCACTGCTGAACATAGGCCTCCCCCAATGCTTTCCATGTTATGTATGTAGGTATACCTACGAGTGTTTAAAGCTCTGGTAACTTAATTCATACAGATTATATGACCTGTTTTATTTATTAATTTAATGTTGGAAGGAATTTTAATTTTATTTCACAGTTTTAAATATTTCCTCGTGTGTCATAATTAAATAATCGTCTTACTTTAGTAACTAAAAGCCGTGCTAAAAGTGTTCGTGAGCTAAGAAAAAAGCAAAAAAATACCTTTCCAGCGCCTTCTCGTCGTTGCCATCTTGACCCTCCCTCTCCGGCGACGCTTCGAGCATTTCCCAGAAGTTGTCCAGCCCGTACACTAGATACAAAACAAATTGTTTTAACGCACTTAATTAATCACATTTGCAGCATTCACTGACGACTGTTTCTATTAAAGTTAGTTTGTTGCTCATTAAAAAAGTAATAAATGAGGTGTTAGAGAACAGTTTTAGAAGTTGAGTGTTTTGTCCCTTTCTTTCATGTTAATGTTCTGTAGTTAAAAGAGCCAAAACAGTATTTTAAATCAATCTGTTTGATTTGTATAAATTTGGGGCTAAGAGACATACCGCATTAAAAGATTCCAAACTGTAAAAAGAAACAGTCGTCATGGTGAATTAAAATTAACCCATAGACAAGGTGCTGGAATAGTAAGTAAGCAAGTTTGATTTAGTTACAATAAGTATTGTAAAGTTTATTTCTATAGCACCTTGTTTAAGAGTCAATTCATGAAAAAATGCCTCAATAAGTTGAATATAGAGGTTTTTGAAGACATCGATAAATCTAACTAGACCAATATAATAAGAGCTCTGACATATCACAGTGAAAATAAAACGAAATTGTGACAATAATTATAGTCTTTGTTTGAAATCGTAGTCTAAAATTATAGCAAAAATAATAAGCTCTTATTATAGCGATCCAAATACACATAAAAATACCCAGTATTTATTGGTTTTTGTTGTTGAAGTTCTTCGTCCAACGATTTGTGTATCGTTGTAATAAAACACAGGTATTCGTTGCCTCTATCAAATGTAAAGAGGAACGAAGTCGCAGAAGATAAGCATAGGAAGAGTATGCAATATGCATTTACCTATAAATAAAAAGCTTAAATTATTGTACTGACTTAACTACAAGATCATTTTAAAGGCAGTTCATATACTTACAACTTAAATAATGTTAATTAAAAATGCATAGCCTCCTGAAAGTGGTTCGCCTACCCGATTAAAACTCCAGTTGTAGGTTTTTAAGCTATTATGGGACTAGGTAGGTAAAATTAGTGTGATCGTTAAAGAAATGAATTACAAGTAAATACATTGTTCGTTCGTTCGTTCGTTCGTTTCAGCCAAATGACGTCCACTGCTGGACAAAGGCCTCCTCCAAGGTTTTCCACAATGCACGGTCCTGCGCTGCCAAATACATTGTGTCTCACGATAATAATTTCAGGTTACTTATTTGAATTATTCTTGCAAATAATTTCAAATAAGTAACCTGAAAAGAGGTGAAGTCAGACGAAAAATCACTATCATATAGGGTTGTTCTATGCCTGCCTGACTAGATATCACTATTTTATGTCTTTTGCCATATTTTGTTCTGTTTATTTTATAATATTGTGGTTGAGGTGTCAGTGACACCCATTTGGAACCTTAGGCATAACCTCACACATTCCATTAGAGTTGAAATGCAGATCAAAAGCTTGGCCCCATTATCATTAAAAACATATAACTACTGATATGAACCCGTTCGAGGAAATCATGCTAATAACTAAAGTAAGGTATTTATACGTCAGCCACTCTATCCCAGGTTAATATTAAATACGGAAACGGTACAAAGCTTTGTCTTCAACTATCGATGCAGAGCTTAATATTCCAAAGGATATTGAGTTCATTGTTTCAGTTTACAAAACATTATACTATAGTCGTGGGTGCTTTTGTAACTGCAGATGATTTCGTACGAAAATTTCAGCTATCGTGCATTATCTGAATTAAGTTGTTTTAAGTCAGGCACACTCATAAGACATATGCTAGCACATCAATATTAACACTGTAGCATCTTATGTTGTTGTAATGCGCTATATTTCAACAATAGGCTGTCGACACGTAAGCAGTTTGGCAATAACTAAAAATGTATTTATACAGGGTGTTTCTTGTAAGGTGTCAAGCCGAAGGCAGGTGATAGGTGAGGACTAGACCTATCGATTTCACCCCCATGTATGTTCTACGATTTTTCATAGTTTAGAAGTTATCGTTAATTTTGTGATTTTTTCAAATTGTATGACCCAGTAGGCTTTAAATTTTTTTATCTTTTTTTTGGGTCGACTTTTCTCAGATTTCTTTTTTTTTGACAGATTCCCTATTAATTGCAGATTTTTGAAAAAAATAATCAACTTCCTATCTTTGATGCAAGATACAAAATTTTTGCTAGAAACATAAAAAATATGCTTTTAGCGGAACATTCTAAAATTTTCAACTTGAAGGTTTGAAAAAAAAAACCCCTGTTACACCCTGTATAATTCACCAAAGCATGGACACATTAGTGTGGATTCAATCAATTGTTTTGCAACATAGAGACGTAGTGAAGCGAATACGATTTTGAAGAAAAAATAAATAGCCAATATACGTATGTATGTGGGTGGCGTCCCGTATAATATGATTTTATAAAGTGAATTTGGTAATATACATTTAGGGGTAGGTGGCCTGTGAGACGATGTTACGGTCACGAATTCGTGGTTTTCATACATTTAGTTGAGTTCAGCAAGCCATTTGAAATTGAATAGAAAGCTTTACATTTTTCTAATTTTTCACCACTCTTCAAGCTCCGCGAATCGAAACATAATAAAAATCAATTGTTATGCGGTTGTAATGCGACCGATTGGGGTTTGACGGGTTCACGAAAGATTTTAAATAAATTATAACCAATTTCAAATAAGTGAAATTTCAATGATTTTCCATAGAATTTACTTACATCTGTAGTATTTGATCGTCAGTTTCTCTTAACCCATCGCCAAGCAACCGATGGCTTTACTCCGGTATCTTAAGTACGGTGCGGTAACCGATACCCCCTTCTAAGGATTGAGAAGCTCAGAAGCTGTATGTAGTTACCAAGTGGACGGGCTTCCATTAAATATGTTTAAACGTAAATCGAGAAATCGGTAACAAGAAAAGATCGTAGTGATTTCGATTAACAAATAAGATATTCTGTATTCTAGGGTTTGTATGTAGAAAGACAACAAAAACTTTTTATAAAAGTCTGCTCTGATAGAAACTGGCAATTTTGCAAACATGCAGCTGAATTGCATTAGTAAAAAAAACAGTGTCGCAAATTCCAGAATATGTTTTAAATAACATAGGTACTACTTTATTGGAAAAAATTATGTACCTAAGTATTTTTTGTACGCTGACTATAAAGATATTTTAGCATTTAGAGAAATTTCTTGAACACAGCAAAATAAAAATTTTAGGTATACCTACTTAGGCTGAGTTACATCACCTTACTTCGACTTTAACACACGTCAAAAATCTGTAAAACTCTACAAAATATACCGGTTATCGGTATAGTCACGGTTAAAGTTAGGTTTACTTCTCATCATTTCATAGGTGAGCGCCCTCTTTTAACCCACCAATCCCCAAGCGGTCGTATAACATAATCTATCTGTCTCGATTCGCGTATCTGAAAGGTTAAAGTTTTAAAGCAATTATTCCTGTATTACCTGATTGAGGTCAACGAACTTGCGTACGACGGACCTCGTGAAGTCGGGGTTATTCAGCATCTCATTCACGAACCAATCCAAGGGGATACTGGGGACAAACATGTATTGTTAATGAGGGCTATCGTTTTAGCGCTCACCTGTTAGCGCCACTGTAGAGTAAGGTCCTGTCACTTGCTAGTAGCGAAGACAGTGGCGCCAACTTGTGAGCGCTAAAGTGGTAGGAGGACTATCGCATTTGCACTCATCAAGATGGCGCCACTATAGAGTAAGGTCCTGTCAATCGCCAGGGGTGCCAACTTTTAAGTATAAAAACGATAGCCCTCATTGTGTAAAAAACGTTAAAATAACGGTATCGTTATAGCTGTCATAGTTACATTGACGTAATGTCAATGTCACACTAGAAACGTCATTGGAGGTACGTGCGTGGAAGACTTCCCGCGCTTTTGTGCTAAGTGATAAATTGTATTAAAAAATGAGGCAATATAAGTAATGTGAAAGTTAAGTCACAAAATATAAGTATCCAGTGTTTTATTTATGAGAATAGATCTACCGTCCTCTAGCAGTATATTAGGTAGGCCTATAATATGTAATATTCTATTATCTTATCTACTACTTTTCTCTATTCCTTCCTGCGCATGGAGGAGGCGTGATGACGAATTTGTATCTTATTTACAGAGTATTTCTATTTGAACTTCTGATACTTTACCCACGTATTCTTTGTTGAATTTTGAAAAAAAGCTCACTTTTGTGTATGTGGACAACTTAAAATGATAAAGAACCATTATGCTCCTAAAATATATAAAAAATAATTTCAAAAAGCTCCCATTCAGATGTGTGACCTAGTGTGACTCCTCTTTGTATTATTTTTTGTCTATGAAATCTAACTAAGAATACGCGGATAAAGTATTAAAAGTTCAAAAAGAAACACATTGTATAAAACGATCTTTCAATAGAAACATTAGTGAAAGAATTACTTCTTTTTAAAATATTGCATTACACATTAGAATCTATACTTCTATACTAATATATATTATAAATGCGAAAGTAACTCTGTCTGTCTCGCTTTCACGCCTAAACCACTAAACCGATTTTGATGAAATTTGGCATAGATATAGTTTGAGTCCCTGAAAAGGACATAGGATAGTTTTTATCCCGGTTTTTGAAACAGGGACGCGCGCGATAAAGTTTTTCTGTGACACAAAATTCCACGGGGGCGAAGCCGCGGGCGGAAAGCTAGTATTTAGACTTTATATTTATACTTTAGATATTTAGACTTTCCCAACTCCACCACTGTTCTAAACTTATTACCTCTTTCTTGAGACTATATTCCAGATATTAGTTTTCGATTAGTTACAACTAAAGTAAGTTTTAGGCAACAAACTTTAGTAGGTAAGACTCACGCCCGTGTTACGGAACATGACTCAAAACTATATTCAAACTTAAAGCACAGAATAAATAATAGTACAAGTAAAGTTATACATACATAAGTTCAAACTGATTAATTAAATCTTTAGACCAATCAAAGGTGTAAATTTAAAATACACCTACAGATTGCTTACTCTGAAATACTGTCTATGAATTTTGCTAAGCGCAAAACTCGAGCACGCCTGGACCAA